TGCATGCGAATGCAGAAATAAAAGGAAGATAAATCTTACATTAAGAACCGAAGGCAAAATGCTTTTGTACAGACCACCGAGAATCATCTTTACAAGTATACGCATGAAGAAAGTGCCAGAGTTTCATGTCTAGTATTTCCATTAAGAAGTTACGGTGACAGAACGCACCTCGTTTATGCTTGACTTCAAAATCCTGAGCAGCTGCTTTACCTCAAAAAGTACATGGCAAGTGCTAATAAAAGGCAATGCCCATCAACTGCAGTAGCAGGACTGGAGTTGGCATTATTTACTTATCAGAAAAAAACAAACAGAAAAATGATCTCTGAAACACGCCTCAGCAAAGAAAAACCCAGAAGTACGGAGAGAGAAGAGAAACAGTGTCGGCACAGCTTGCATCTTAAACTCCGATGAAGTCAGAGTCAACAAATTCAGTTGATTTGCAACAGGTTTTACAGTTCTTTCCACAGCATGTTGTATTTCGCTACCATATTTCACACAGCAAGGCCACTCGCTCCTAGGTAGCGCAGAGAAGTCCACAAGATAGCCTTTTCCTCCTAACAAGAGACATTCGAGATTAACTTCTACGGCACCCCACGCTGGCGCCTCAACCAACAGAAACGGAGGCTCCGCTACCAAGGTGATGAGGGAGAGAAGAAAACTAGCAGCATAATTTAGGGTGAGGGGAGAGTTGAGTTCTGCCACTGATCACCTCCAGTAAAGGCCTCAAAATGATAGCTCCGTGTGAACGCCAAGTGCTTTTGGCCAAAATCGTCCTTAGGCTTTCCAGCTCTGCCCCTCGCTATCGGACGGGGTACGAACGCCGAAGGAACGCAAAGAACGCTGTCGCTGTGAAATATTAAACATTCCCCCGTGCTGAACATTTTGCAGAGCTGAGACTCGGTTGAGTAGGCTACAGCTTCCTTCATCTGCACACCCCCCTCCTGGATGGAGGGGCAGGGAGGAAGGCGGGGGGGAGGGGGGGAAGAAAAAAGAAAGGGAAAAAAAAAAGCTTTTACACATCCCCTTTCTCTTTGTGTTTTTAAAGACGGTAAATAATTGTTTTGATCATTTCCTCACCTCTTTCCTTAACTCTTCAGACACGCCGCACAGTTTGGGTATTTTTTTCCTCTCTGTACTATGGCTTCTGGCGTGCCTGCTCGAGAAATACTTGACTTGATGTTTATTAAATGCCAAATCCTGGCTGACTGTTGTTAACTTTCTACAGTTTTCAATAGCTAACTGAAGTGTGTTTCCTGACATCAGTGAATATTAGTATCGTTCTACTTTAATGAAATTGTACAGAAAGAAGTTTTCTTTTTCCCCTGAATGTACAAAGCAGCTTTTTGGGGGTATAGGCGAGAAATCCTAGTTCCTGTTGTCAGGGTTTAGTACCCTAATAAAATGTACACAAGTAGCAGAATCATTGAAAAGTTAACATTAAATAAGGGCTTCGACATAAAAATACTTATAGTTCCTACAAGTGAATTCTTAGCATATCTACACATAAGCAGTTATAAACATACCTATAGGATAAAATACTGTTTCATCTGCACTCAACTTTTTACATTTGCTTTGCATGAAACCTGCAGGTTTTGAGACTCCTCACTGGACAAAAAGTGTTCTCTGCTCCCCAGTCTTTACAAGGTATTCTTTTAAAATAAAAAGCAGAAGAGTTATAAAGCATCT